ATGTTATCATAACAAGTGTTGGTGCTTCTGCGTTTCATTTTCCATCCATTTTGGCGGCATAAGACGTCGTAGGGGTGACCACAGAATTCATGAAGTTATTCTAAGAACTGGCTGGTATGTAGTGAACGAAAGCAGAGCTTAGCTGGCTCAAAAAAATATTTATGGTCATCCCTCGAAACGACCACGAAGGTCAGTACGATAAAATGGCGTCAACTGGAGCGATAATACATGAAGGAATGAGTTCTTTCCCTCCCCCACACACATCCGTATCGTCTCAGGTGGTGACCACAGTGTTCTGCCTTAATTCGTGACGTTTTTCTAAGAACTGGGTGCTATATACTGTGCGAAATCAATTGATCGTGCAACAATAAAGTTTTGGACATCCCTCTTCTAAGAATTCCAATTGAGTGTGTTTGTGTCGCCAGCTCAGGGTAATATGATATTATAAACACAAGCACATATCACGTCTCTGATGTTTATAAGTTCATAAGAAACAAAACAGGCCTTTCATGACAGGAGAACGGAGAAACCTCTCCCAAGAGCAACAGGAACTTTGCTGCAAGACAGGCATATGTAACGATGACTTGGCGCAGATAAAGTCGTGTCTTATTTATACTCTGTTCTACTGACAACAGGCCAGCGAAAAATCTAACAATCTACAGCAAAACCATCAATTATTATGGGCGTTATAACGTAGGTGTGCAGCTGGACGAAACATACACGTCGAACCCCCCCAGACGATTTAAATCCCTGACGAAACATACACGTCGAACCACGGCAACGGGTTAATCATTTGATGTGATTGAGAAATTCATCACTATCTTTGTGGTATCACCCTAAGAAAATAAAAACTGAAACCATTCTCTGCATTTTGTGTGTACCTGTGAACATTTTTGGAACTTGTGTTGCGCTAAACTTGTGATAGGCAAGCCTAATTGTGATAATTTCATAGAGAACAGTGAGTGAAATTGATGCAAAAGTTCTGAAATTGTGAAGCACCATCTTTCATGGAATTTTTGCTCAACACTTTGAACAAGATCATCACTCATTACGGATGGCTGACCACTTCACTCTTCATCATGAACATTTGTTCACCCATCTTTGAAAATTCTATCCTTACAGTTCCTTCACTCATTACATTTTGACCTTAAACTGTATATAATTCTCGATGGATTCCACAGCACTTGTTTTTAGAATGAAGAAAGTGGATAACCACACAAATTTCACAGCTGGTGGGATTATTAATTGCATGACACCTAATACTCTGTAGAGACAAGAAGAAACACTGGGTGACCAGTTACAAGGTTTGGCAATAAAGAACCCGGATTACTTTTATGACTCATTTCCGGCCACGTCATTGACGAAGAGGAGGGTAGGGCATTGACCCTTGGACTTCCCTCTACCGTCACACAAAGTTTCATTCACGTGCATCGGTTAGTCTGGCCGCGACCATTGTTAGAAGCGGATCGTGTTTCTGAGCTCCGTCGGAATAATGCTGAGTGCTAATGCAGAACAACGTGCTAACATCAAATTCCTCACAAAACTTGGAAAATCTGCCACTGAAACTTACAATTTGTTGACAGAAGTATATGGTGATCAGTGTCTATCTCGCACGCAAGTTTTCGAGTGGTTTAAGAAGTTTATGGAGGGTAGGAAAAACGTCGGGAACGATCCAAAATCGGGCCGTCCTCCCACTGCGAAAACTCCAGAGAATGTGGAGAAGGTCGCTAGAATTGTTCGAAGAGATCGTCGACTGAGCATTCGAGCAATTTCTGAACTTACGAACATCAATAAGGAAAGTGTTAGACAGATTTTGCACGACGATCTGGGCATGAAAAAGGTGTGTGCTAAAGTGGTGCCAAAAATCCTTACCCCCCAGCAAAAGGAACATCGAGTGAATTGCTGTGTTGACACTCTTGAAAACATTGAAAATGATCCTGATTTCTTCCAAAACGTAATTACGTGTGACGAAACTTGGATTCTTCAATATGATCCAGAGACTAAGCGACAATCCATGCATTGGAAGAGCCCCAAATCCCCTAGGAAGAAGAAAGCGCGCATGAGCAAGTCCAAATTCAAAGCAATGATGATTGTTTTTTTCGATATCCGGGGGGTAATCTACATTGATTGGGTGCCTGAAGGTCAGACTGTCAATCAGGTTTATTATAAAAATGTTTTGACGTACCTCCGTGAACGTGTGCGACGAAGGAGACCAGACATGTGGAAGAATGCCTCATGGGTTCTTCATCACGACAACGCGCCAGCACACAACGCGCTATCTGTGAAGAGGTATTTGGCAAAAAACAACATTCCAGTGATGGAACATCCACCGTATTCTCCGGACCTAGCACCGTGCGACTTTTTTCTCTTCCCAAAAATCAAGTCTGCGCTGAAAGGGACCAGGTTCGAGTCCGTGGATGCAGTGAAAGCAAAAGCGACGCAACTCTTGAAGAGCATAACACAAGATGACCTGCAGCACTGCTTCCAACAGTGGAAAATTCGCATGGAGCGGTGTAGGGATCGGGGAGGGGACTACATTGAAGGGGATAACATTTCGACTGTCTGATTTTTTTTTAATAAAGGGTTAGAGCATGAATCCGGTTTCTTTATTGCCACACCTTGTAAATGATGGTTTATGGGGCAGTGAGTCATATGATGTTACCTTGCATGTGTGAGAGATTTCCCCTGCTTCTACATTAGTTGCCCAAAATAAACAGGTTACCTTCAAAATAAATGTTGATAAATTCCTTATCTTGGTAGTATAGTTTATATTTACATTTTCATTGATCCAGTCATCTCCCCAAAAGGCTTAATGTAAAACATGTCATACATTACAAATTTATGATGACCACACTTTATATGTCCTTGGTCCAATACAGTAAATAATGAGGCCTCACGCAGACAGTGCAAGTTGTCAGGACATCCCACATAGACTCTGGCGACACCACAGTCACGTTCTTTCCAACCATAACTATATGCGGTGCAATTGCACTCCCTACCATTACACATACACTGTCCAGCCATATCATCAATACAGTTTCATTGTAACATATTACAAAATACATAACAACCACAGTCATCATACACGGGAGTCTCAACAACATATAATACAAGAACACAGACCACTTAATTACTCTCAACATTTGAGCCCCTTGTATGCTTGGCAAATTCATCAATAGAGTAAAACGAGTTTCTTTGCAAATAATTTTGTAAAACCTAAATTGTTTTTTTATCATTTTTGAAAACAGAGATATTTGGCGGCAGAGTGTTAAATAGCTTGATGCTTGAATAATACACCCATCTCTGATAGGATTATAAATGTGTTGAGGGTATGTGAAGGTGGTCATTCCTTCTGATACCAATGAGAGCAAATATATACATGGGATTGGTAGTATGTCAAGCTATTTAAATAGATCTCTACATGTATGAGTTGGGCCCACTCCCATCATTATTCTTATTATTTTCTTTTGTATAACAAAGACCTTATGACTGTCTGATGTATTTCCCCAATATATTATTCCATATTCCTCCAATGAGTGATAATATGCATAATGTCCTGCTTTAAGACCATTTATATTTAATATATAGGATAATTTTTGCATTAGAAAACCAGCTATGCTCAACCTGTGAAGCAAAAAATCGATATGTCCCTTACAAGTCAGATGATTGTCCAGCTGCAAACCGAGAAATTTTATAATTTGTACTTCTTTCACTGTCTTGTTAGAAAACAGTGTATGTAGTTGGTAGCTCATAGCTGCTGTTGGGGTGAATTTTATCATTTTTCTTTTATCCACATTTAATACAAGTTGATTGTTTTGAAGCCACATAAACATATGATTAAGTACAATGTCAGGTTTTATTTTTATATTATAGTAGTCTTTAGCTGTGCAAAGAATATTCGTGTCATCTGCAAACATAATAACTTCAGAAATCTTACTTATTTGAAAGGGGACGTCATTTATGTGTATATTAAACAAAGGAAGGTGGTAGTGTGGAAGATGTAAGAAATAAAATATAAGCAAATTGTGCATTTAATCAGCTACAGAAAGTTTTGGAAATCAAGTGTTATTTCATTAAAAAAACCAAGAATTTTAAACTCTAATGTGAAGTAAATTCTCATATATGGAAGTGAGACATGGTGAGTTATCCAGGAAATATGTAAAAAAAATTAACAAAGTTTTGTAAATCGTGAGATGGCCAGTTATAAAAATAAATGATGAACTATGGAAACAGAAAATGTAATAAAAATAACAGATAACCAGGCGTAAATGGAACTGGATTGGCCATACTCTTCAGAAGGAAAATGCAGTCGAGAAGGAGGGTATGGAGTGGAACCCACAAGGACAAAGGAAAAGAAGACACAAGAGAAGTTGACAGAGAACAATACAAGAGGAAGCCTTGGCTGCTGGGAAGACATGGGGAGAAATTAAACAACTCAGCAAGAACCATGTTATATGATGACACTCTGTTAATGCCCTATACTCCAGTGGGAGCTAGAGGAGGAGGAGGAGGATGATGATGATGATGATGATGGTGACGACTACAACTTTCTAAATAGCTCCCATATATGAAAAATCAATCATATTTTCCCTGCAGCTTCATCATAATGAGTTATTTGTAACTACCTGCTACAATTTTCCTGTTACTTTTTGCACCATCTGTACTTCCAGTTTGCTTCCACAGTCGTTTATGGTTAGCAGTCCAAAAGGTCCCATAAAAATCTTTCTGCCGTATCTTTATGTAGGAGGAAGTTTGCATTTCAGAAATGTTTGTCACATGATGACCTCTGAATATTCTCATAAGTCCAATAGCTTGTTCCACTGTATATTATTCCTCTTGACTTGTTTATGGAGTGTCTTTGCCCTCTTGTCACACAGGTTTCCCCTTCTGCTGAGCTTCCATTGATGAATGAATGTATAAGGGGTGGACCTTCTCGGTCCTTGCACTGTGACCCACAGTGATCTATTATGCTTCCCTTTTGATTATCCCTCAGTCCCACCACCCATTGTAGCTGGTTCCTTTTTAACTTCAGCAGTTCCTCACAGAGGGTCCTCATATGAGTCCCTTTGCTTGCCTGAGTCCAGTCAAGGATCCCCATTATTTCTTGTGCATCGTATTTGTCCAGTCCCTGATTGGAGTTTCAGTTGATACTGGATGTTGATGTCACAATACAACTGTGCATGTGTATGTTCAAGGTTTTGGCCCCCACAAGACTACTGTGTTTCATTTGTTGCCAACTGCAAAATTTCAAAATTATGACAATGAAATGGAGGAACTTAGATCTGAATACAAAGCTTGAAATATTATGTCTGTGTGAAGTGGCAGTTCTTCAAAAAAGTGTAATAGGAAGGCAAAATCGATTACCTTCTTTGATGTTGTTTATGATGCTAAAGAAGAGAATACCATGGTGTATACCAAACCTTAGCAAAGTGAAGGCTTGTTTTCACATGGTATGAAGTCATGATATTTATGTCATGACACAGTGTTACAACATGTCACCATATAAACTTGAATTAATTATGTCATGGCACCCAGATTAACGTTGGAAATTCAGCATCACAGAAATTAACTAAATTTGATTTGTGGTAACATTTGTCATGACTTTGCTGCTTCCAAAAAAATGTCATGTCACGACCACTCTTGTCACAGTTTTAAATGTGGCATGAAAATGAGTGTTAACATTTTTCCTTTCTTTAATGAGTACACATTGGTGACAATCATCTCAGTTTGACGTTGTGACAAATATAATGAAAGGAGGCTTGTACTCCAGTGTAATCTAACAGGCACAGAACTTCCCTTGCTATGGATCCCATCCAGGTATGTGATAAACAGTTACTTTCATTGCAAGTGTGGTAACTTAAATGTTACTTAAACTTAATTTTATTAGGTTAGAAAATTAAACTGCTAATGTGGTGCTGAAATTTCTACACAGAATTTTTAGCCGTCTTGTAATCTGACATCAGTATCCTGAGCATCGCAACTGTGTACATTTATGATCACCCTGTGGTCAAGAACTTAATCCATGTGACTTTCATTTTGTTGGGTTTTATAAGAGTGACCGCTCTAGAAAACTGAGGTTAATGGCCGTGGGGATCCGTTGCGCTGACCACGCGACACCCTCTATCTGCAAAGGTTGGCACTAACTTCGCCAACAAGCAGTGGTAGCTCGGTCGGTATAGTTTGCTTGCGGACTACAGGCCATGGAAATTGTTTTTGTTTTTTTTATAAGAGTGAAGTTCCCAAAAGAAACAGGTAATCGTATGGACCAAAGAGTCACAATTATCCAGCAATGAGGGAGATCACAAACACACATCCACTATATTGTCATGTGATTTGAGGAGAGGTGGCTGTGTTTCAGTTCTCTACTCTTTTGAGAAGCACCAGCGCCTCCCCCCTTTGGGATGGTTCTGGAAACTAATTGAACCAAGGTTAGCCAAGATTCTGTGAGAAGGTTTGAGAATGACATAGCTTGGATAGAGGTGTGGAGTTTGCAGGTTAAGTCAGACTAGAGAAAGTGGCTGAGGTGAGTGGATTACAGCAGTTCAGTTGAACTTCACTACAAACTAGAAGCAGTTTACAGTGTTAGTGTGTGATGAGCCAGTGCATACTATGAGGTGAGGGGTTTGTTCAGTAAAGGTAAACTTATCCCTGTAACAGGCCATGGAGGCCCATAGGGCTGTGAGATGTCAAGGCTCCCACATTTTCTAGACAGTTGGTTCACAGATGACAGTGAGGTTGTCAGCCTTACACACCATTTACCCCCAGGAAGATTCCTGGTACTCATTTCTGTTAGAGGCTGGGTAAACATCAGTGAATGGAAGGATTAGGTTAACTGAAAATCCAGTGACCTTATCGGGAATTGAACTGGCGACCTTCTGGCTTGTAGTATAGTGCCTGAACCAAGTATGCTACCATGTGCTCCGAGTAGTTCAGTGCAGGTGGCAGTGACGAGTGCAAGGAGAGAATAGTGCAGTGACATGTAGTTGAATAATAGTGAACTAGACAGCCGACATCAACATCTAAAGTGATTGCTGACAGACATAATAACTGCTCCACAATGAGATAAATGTTATACTGTGAATACCAACATTGGTGTGCCTCTCCAAGAAGGCATTTAACAAAATGGTGATCATGTTGAAGATGTGGTTAACTGAATACATTTCTTAGGAAATTTTGCATCAGAATCTGGATTTTATAACATTTTATACTTGAATTAACTATTTTTAGAATAATTTAATGTGCTAATCAATATGTTCATCAATAAACACTTATATAAAAGCCAAAAACTATGTTAGCACATGACAAGAGTGTCTTATGGTGATTACTTGCTCTGTTTGCATTATAGCATAGCTTTCTTGGCTTTTTGTTGCAGGCATACAGTCAGAGGAAGCTGGTCTGGTAACATTGCATGATGTGCTGGATGCACAGTGGTTATACGAGAATCACAAGGATGAGAGCTACCTGCGCAGGGTGATCCGCCCACTAGAGGGCTTACTGATTAACCATAAGCGCATCATCATGAAGGACAGTGCGGTGAGTGGCTGTTTGCACTATGCTGTGAATGGGAGTGACGGTGAATAAGTGGCCCATGAAATGATGTGTCTGTAAGTAGTGATGTAAAAACTATATAAAGAAAAATATTGCTTTTCTAGATAGTTCCTCTTGACTTGAGAATATACATGGTGTGAACAGAAGTTCCTGGTTCAGAACCCAATTTTTGTAACCTACCATGAAGATGCAGTTAGATACTTTAACAAATCAAAATATTATTTTTGGTCATAATGCATAGGTGAAATGGAATCATCAAGGGGCTGATGAAAAGGAATTTATAGTCAGTATATATATATTTTATTGCTCCTTTTCATCCCAGAACCTTTGTTGCAGATTCCCATTAGCTACAGATATCAGAGAGGCTAGTTGAATGACTCTCATGAGTGAGTTCAGATATCTGGAAAACTTAAGACCATCAGAGACATGCTGGCTTCCTCTCCACATATAAAATATTGTCACATGTTAATAACTAGACATGCTGTTTCTACTGATAATTGGATTTATTGAACACTTACAACTCATAACTGTAAATGATTATAGCACTTTCATTAAACCACATACTCTACAAATAACTATAGTCATAATAGTGTGCATCCTGTTATGTGTTTTGAATAAGATATATGTAAAAAGTATATAAGGTATACATTCTACACAACAATATTCTGTATTTAAAAACAAAGAAGTCACTGCTGTATCAACATTTGCGATCCTTGTTTGTGAATTAGATAAAAACTAATTGCAATTCAACAGCTGAAACTGGAGCATTGTGTGCTTGATGATGACCCGATATAAGGGTCGAAACATGTTATGTCTGTAAAAACAAAATACAGTCAACTCTCGATTATCTGGGGGCGGATTAACTGGTTTGTGGCTTAACCGGGGCTACTGAGGCTTTTTTGAGGCTTATATGTTGTTTAATATTCATTCACTTTTGTTTCATATGATGAGTTGTAACACTTTTCGCACTAGTGTGAACCGAGCTCTGCATTCGTTGGTCCTGTTACGCTAACACAATGTAAGGATTTGTGGAAAGTTTCAAGGACAGGTACACCGCCCCAGTTGGACTCTTTGTATTGATCTTCAAGTGTGTTAGCAAAATGTCAGGGTGTAAAAGGAAGCGTGTTGTGTTAAGTATTCAACAGAAACTTGTGTGAGCCGGGCTTCGAAATGTTAAGCAGTGATGAAACCGTAAGTTCCAGAAGAGCGGGAAGAAAGTGAGAATGAGGAAGAGATGGACAGTGCTGCTAGTAAGAAAATATCACATGGTGCTGCTCTTAATCATTTGGAATCGTTACTAAACTATCTTGAGAGTGAAGAGAACAGTTTATTAAGTGACAAGCTAATATTACGTAGGCTTCGTACGGATATCCATAAAAAGGAAAGAGTCGCGAAAAAGCAAACGACATTATTAATTTTTTTAAGTGTTAAGTGTGAATATTCATAAAAAGTGTTGGATGTTGTTGAACACTGTGATTGAAATAACTAATTCACACGTCAGTATAAAGTAAAAAAAGTATTAAATAGGCCATGAGATGACATAAAAATGAGGCTGAGTAAATTTAAATACAGGTAGGCCTATAGTATTACGAAGGTACAGTATTACAGTACCACTATTAATGACATTTGTCTTAACCGGGTTTTCGATTAATTGTGATTTCCATGCCCACCATTATCCCAGATAATCGAGAGTTGACTGTAAAAGCAAATGTTAATACAGTAGTGTCTTCTTTGTTTTTAAATACAGAATATTGTTATGTAGACTGTATACATTATTTACGTTTGTATATCCTGTAAATAACTATAGCACACACTAAGTCTTCTCAGTTTTTTATCTCTTCACTAGTCAGTGGTTGGTAGCAGCATCTAACAGTGGAGACTCCTCTGTTTCTGTGCTCATTGCCTACAACCAGTTGTGCCTGCTAACTCACAAATGACTCATTATATATCCTTGACATGGACTGCACAGAACACATCACTTACAGCAGTTCTACCAATGTTGCATGTGTATCTGTTGCCGTGAGATCATGTTTACTAAGCATTGGCCGCCTTTTCCAGCTCCACTGTTCTGCATTACAGGCATTATGTCACAGTATGAAGTTATGATGATGGTGACTCATAACCTTTTAATTATTTTACAATAAAAGTTGTATTTCACTGAAATATGTATAGCTGTATACATCTAATTAATGCATTAGGGATGCAACCATTCGTTTAGAATCAGTAAGATTAGTGAATAATGTTACTTTCCAATTGAAAGTAATGATCACAGCATAATTTGAGGGCCTGTATTGGTATTTGTCTGGAGAGACTAAGAAAAGTGACAAAAACCTGTCAGATTAGAACACAGGACCTCTTGAATACAGGCTGTGAATGTACCTACTTGGCCATAAAATTCAGTCTGATCAGTTCTTGATGAATGGAATCGTAATGGAGACTTGTGAAATTGTTGCTTGTATCTTGAAAGGGCATATGAATATGTTGTTCTATGTATTTATTTACATATTTATAGAAAAGTTGTGTATTATTGTACAGTTTGCATGAAATTAATGTCAAATTGAGAAATGATGAATTAAATTGAGGAGGATCACTTTGTTCTGCAGAACAGTCTCCTGTGATCCAAGATTCTTTGCTGTTTTAGCAAAAGTTTATGATTAATATTAGTTAGAGAGTGTACTGAAACCATATTGCTCATTTAATTTAGTCTGACTACTTGCATAAAAGGTAAAAGGTTATATAATCCCTGTTGGCCATGCCATAGCTCAAGCGGTTAGTCACTGGCTTACCACTGCAGCAGTGTGGGTTCGATCCCAGGTCTGGTCAAGTGGGATTTGTGGTGGACAAAGGGGCGGGTTTTCTCCAAGCACTTCAGTTTTCCCTTCCAATCTTCATTCCACCAAATTCTCCATCATAATCACCCGGGACGGGCTACAATAGGCCAATCAGTAGCCACCGTGCCGAGTGGACCCATTTGGAGTCCACCCCCACTAAGCAAATTAAAAAAAAATGTGTATAATCCCTGTGCTTAATTAAACACTGTCCTGTGAAGGCATATGGAGGAGTGGAGGTATGGCTTCATTTTTGGCTAGATGGGGGTGAGTGTTCAGTGTCATGCCCTGACTGCTTTACCTTGGGGAAGGACCCCAATACCCATTGGATAGGAGGCTGGGGAGGCCACAGAAACAGTCTAGGCACTGGAAAGGACAGATCTCTTGCCATTGCCAGCAATTGAACCACAGCCATCCTGCCCGTACACTATACCCGCTGACCTATCCCAGCTTCTGGGTACTTTCGTATCATACCATTTGGTATACCTCTTATACCTCTTATCATGTAACCATGAATGAATGAATGGATGGATGAATATATAAGGTGTGGGCCTTCTCGGCCCTTGCGCCACGACCTACAGTGGTCTATTATGCTTCCCATTTTTATTATCCCCTCAGCAATCCTGCACTTCGAATGAAGCGCAGGATTTTGTATGTTGGGGAGTCGAAATAGACATTTGGTTCCATGAAGTGTTGACCCAAGTTACATAATCTTAAATAAGCCAAGGCCTCACATTCACACAGGGTATGTGTGGCTGTTTCATTTTCTTCTTGACACCTCTCACAAGTGGGACTATCAGTTAGTCCCAGTTTGAAGACGTGACCTTTAAGGTGACAGTGTCCTGTAAGTAGTCCCACCACACATCGTAGCTGGTTCCTGTTTAACTTCAACAGTTCCTTCGCTCTTTTAGCAGAGGGTCCTTGTATGAGTCCATTTGCTTGCCTGAGTCCAGTCAAGGAACCCCAGTATTTCTTGTGCTTCATATTTGTCCAGTCCCTGATTGCCTTTCTGGCAACTCCCATAGAGATGCCACAGGCTGGTTCAGGTCATATGAACGGATCTTCAGCTCCAGTCTTCGCCAATTGAACCATGTAACCATAGTCTGAGACTTTGAATTTAGCTTCTCAGCTCGTTGGTGCTGGCATTGCCATTTTCACCATGCTCAGTGCATAAGTATTTGCAAACCAGAATAAAAGTTTGTTTTATTTTTAATTGCTGTTTTCTTTGTTGCTTTTTTCGTTGATAGTGAAATTGACCCCTCAAGTACCTGATATTCTGCCAGATCCTAATTATTGCCATCATTCATCTGCAAAGTAAATCGGGTGCTTATTGCATATTGTACATAACTTATTTTGCTTGGGTCAGACATGAAATCTCATCACAGTAGCTGTGTACTGTATACGATATTAACTAATATAATTTTGTTGCTTCAGTTTATCATGTTCTTGTTTGTAGCTTCTCACACAATCAATACAAATATGAAAGTGTCATTTTACAAAACTGTTGTTTGGTATAACATGTCATGATTATATAGAAAGCAGAATTTCTTATAAATCCATGATGTACGAGGGGGTACCCAAAAGAAACCGAACTTATTTTTTTTTTAACTTATTTATTCAAATTTTAATCACAAACCTTCATTCCCCTTCAAAGTACTGTCCACTTACACTAATACACTTGTCTAGTCTTTTATTCCATTTTTCAAAACATTGTCTAAATTCATCTTTTGAGATGCTTGACAGCGCCTCCGTCATTCTTTTCCTTCACCTCAGCAACATCAGCAAAACGCTGGAAAAAAGTTTTGATCATTTCGGGACTCTTCTTTCAAAGCACAGCATGCTTCCACACGACCTTGTTTTTGTTCAGCACTCAGCAGTCGTGGCACGAATTTCGCAGCCACCCTTTTCGTTCCCAAATCTTCTGTCAAAATTCGCTGAACTGAGTTCCAAGTGACTCCCGACAGCTCCACAGTTTCTTCAATGGTCCGTTGTCGATCTTCCTTGATGATTTCACGAATTTTTTCAACATTTTCATGTGTTTGGGCCATTGCAAAAATGACGACCATACAAAACAGTTGTCACTATAAACTCTGCCGAAACTAGTCCTTACCTTCTGAAGAAACGGTAGTCGGCTTATCGACTCAGGAATGTTAGCTCTATGCGCTCATAGCGGCAAAACGCGGTACTACAAAAGCTCTGCCCACAAAAAAATTAGTTTGGTTTCTTTTGGGTACCCCATCGTAGATTTATAAAAGTCCTTCATACCACAATCTTGGAAGTCTGTGTCCTTTTTTCTTTCTTCCTTTCTTTTTCTTTCTTTCTTTCTTTCTTTTTATGATCAGATTATGAGGTACTAATGTTTTTCTTTCTTTGCTCAAGGACTGCATCCATACTTAGTCATTGTTACAAGCTGTGTATGTTTATTTGCATAATACAGGGTGCAGCAGAATTGATTAGACTATTTAAAATTGGCACCAAATGCCAGTAGATAGCATGCTGATTTTTTGCTGCTGTGTTGAGAGCAGTTCAAAGACTATTAGTCACCATGTGAGCATTGTAGATTTACTGTGGAGAGCATTTTTAAAAATAATAATTCAGCTACTCAAACACAACGTGAATTTAGGAAATTTTGTAACACTGGAAGAAATGGTAAGGTTCTGACATGTCAAACCATTAAATTGGGTAAGCCAGTTTAGGTCAACTGCTTCTTCCTTGCCAAAGAAGAATCCTGACTGTCCATGATCAGTGTGCAACCCAGAAAGTGTGGAGAGGGTGCGAGTGGCCCAACAAAAGAGTCCATGATGCTCTGCTAGCTGACGTTCTGTAGCACTGGAGTTGTCAGGTAGGAGTGTTAGGGAAATTTTGCACGTGGATTTGCACATTCATCCTATCAAGATTTGAATGGTGCAAGAATTACTGTGCGAAGGAACTTTTGCACTAAGCTATTTTAAATGGACACACTACTGCAATTTCTTCCCAACTTGATAACATCAGATGAAGCCCATTTTCATCTAAGGGGGTATGTTAATAAGCAGAATTTCAGGTACTGGGCAGAAGAAAACCACCGCTTACTGTATCAATCACCTTTGTATAGCCAGAAGGTCACAGAATGGTGTGGACTCAGATCATTTGGCATTTTAGACCATACTTTTTTGAAGACAATGGACTTGCAGTGACAGTAACTGTTGAGTGTTATGTGTCCATACTCAATGAATTTCTTCTGCTAGAACTACACTAATGCCACAGTGACGTACACTTAGTATGGTTTCAACAGGATGGCGTGACATCTCGCATGCCACGAATCTCCATGCTAACAGTTCAAGAAATGTTCCTAGTATGTGTCAGCTTGAGAAATGGTGATGTTGCTTGGCCTCTACGCTAGGCAGGATTATCCCCATGTGAGTACTTCTTATGGGGATATTTAAAGCACAATGTGTACAAGAATTGACCTAGCACCATTTATGAGTTTTGGGATTCCAATGACTACCATTCTGCAAATTCCAGTGGACATGCTGTGGAAGACAACAGACTCTTTCAGGTGAAGTGCAGAGGATTTCTTGCAGAACATTGGAGCTCATGTGGCTGATGTTGTCTTTAAAAGTAGTTAGCACATGATATGCTTCTACAGACTTCACAGAAATATGAGTGTTTCTTATATTAACTGAAAATAAATTAGCCATTTCACAAATTTAAATCATCTAATGTATTCTGCCACACCCTGTATATTCTATATGCATTGCACAATTTTCATAAGTCCCTATTTATGTGAATTAAATAAAATATCATGTTCACTTCTTGATGTATTTCCTGTTGTGTCTGGTGCAATATTGACATAAAATCTCAGTATTTAAAATATTTTAATCACTTATAAAAGCAGTGATTGTCATAAAATTAATTTTATGGTATTATGCAACAAATTTCAGGGAAGAAATTCAGTGTTTGTTCAATTTCAACGAATGAATACATGACACAACATAAAAATTACTTTAATGCAGTCTGTACATGTGATGGAGATCTGTTTGAGAAGTATACATGTAGGTGATCTCACTTATATAATGGAACATTATTTTAATAGGTGTTGGTTCCTGCCTTATTATCTTGATTTTGTAACTATATTTATATTTCAGGTCACAGCTGGTACACCAGCTATCCTATCTGAGCACTTTTTTTTTATTTTTTCCTTCCAGGTTAGTTCCTAAAAATAGGGCACACACATTTCCTACTTTCACCAGTTTGTTTGTATAATCAACCTGACATATCGTCTAATATGAAATAATGTGTACCTTTGTTAAATGAAATGTTTGGAAATGCAAGGACAGTCCCACTGCACAGGCTTCTGCAAGATCTCATATTGGAGTTGTGTTTTCGCATGATGGTATGCATTTAGGTCCTTACCAAGACTTCATGGTTCTTCTGAACCCTCCTCCCATTAATTCATTAGTGTATTTTTTGTGCAGGTGAATGCTGTGTGCTATGGAGCAAAAATCATGTTGCCAGGTGTGCTGAGGTATGAGGATGCAATTGAGCTGAATGAGGAAATTGTGATTGTGACAACCAAGGGAGAAGCTATTGCATTGGGTAGGGAAACCTGAAAGATATTTCTCAGTAACTATTAGTTCAGCATCTCTAATACCATTTACACCATTGAACTTGATCACATTCTCTGAATCCATCATCCTAACATTCATCTTGTTTGGTCCTTCAACTGGTTGCTTTCCAGTAGGCCTTTAATGTTAAAATTTCGTAGGTACATGGGGCAATCCAAAAGTTTCCGAAATTTGAATTTTATGCGCGAATGGTTATGTGTATATTGAAATACCCCTAGGTGTCTCCTCACACATCCTTCTTGAATCAGGGTGGCAAGCGGCGTCAAGTTGAGTGGTTGGGTTTATTGTTGGTGAACGTATTTCCATTGTTGTGTTTCTGTGAGTTTGCGGTTTTGTGATGGCTGACCTGAGAGAGCAGCGTGTCTGTATAAAGTTTTGTTTCAGACTTGGGAAAGCCGCTGCAGAAACGCACCAAATGCTGAAGCAAGCTTTTGGTGAAAACAGTTTAGGCCGGACACAAACTTACAACTGGTATAAGTGTTTAAAAAATTGCCGAACATTGACTGATGATGACAATCGTTCGGGATGGCCGTCAACAGGCAAAACACCAGAAAATGTTGCGAAAGTTAGGGATCTGATTCTGCAAGATCGTAGACTGACCATCCAAGACCTCTGTGACACCTTGGGACTAAGTTACGGTACATCATCATCATCATCATCAGTAATCTGTCAGACGACAGGTCCACAGTCTCTTCCAAAACAATTCCTCCACTTAATGCGATCTAGAGCTTTCTCCTTCAAATGACGGTATCCTCTTCTGTCCCCAAGGTCATCCAGCATCTTCTTACGTCTTCTTCCTCGTCTTCTTGTCACTTCTATCCGCCCCTCTATCTTTCCTTCAATAACTTCTTTTAGAAGGCAGTTTCTGCATAAAACATGACCAATCCAATTAGCCTTCCGTTTTCTTATTTCGTGTAGGATATTCCTCTGCTCACTGACT